TGATACCATCACTATCACTAGATGATTTATTACCACATTTGTTCACTATCTCTATAATTTCCTTTTCAACTATGGGCTTCAGAAACATAGAACACATATTCCTTTCAATTGTATTGTTATTTATAGTGACGGATGTATCTATATTGAGCAGATTAGTAACTCACTGCAAATAAATATCACAAAAACCCATGCATTCTTTCAGTAGGGATCTCCGTTTTAGCTTTTTGCTCATTCACAGTTTGTCCATGCTCATGTCTCTTCAGGCATTACTCCAGAGGAAGGCATCATTGTCCAGCACACTGGCTAGTTTTTGGTTGAAGGGCTGGTGAAATTCCCTGAGGAGGTCTCTGGTGGCTGGAAGCATAGGACCCAGGTTCCTGTCTGCTGCCCGCCGTCTGTTAGACATGGGATGCTTGGTCAGTGCTTCCTCCACTTGCTCCAACAGAGGACCTGCAGAGGAGGGGGGTACACAAGAAGTTAAGTGTCAAGGCTGAAACAACCTGATAAACACAACAACTAGGATCTTTTATCAGGCTTTTTGTAAAATGTTAATATACAAGGTCATGTTTAGTAGCTTTGTGGATACATACCCACACTCAAAAAGTCAAAAACTTTCTTGATTGTCACATTACGGTTGGCTGCATAGTTCTCTAGATGAAGAACTAAAATCTGCTCCCTCTGGAAAACTGTGAGCCAGTCCAGTAAGAAAACGATGTATATCCCCAAATTTAGCCTCACCTGTGGGGAGAAATCAAAATACACAGACATCACAAATTTCTTGTGGTGAAACTATTTTGTAAGACATTGTAAGACATTTAAAAATTAAACTCAACTATTAATTAAACATGAAATCTTTAACATGACCCTTTTTAAAAGACATCTTCAGTAAAAAGAGTGGGCCTTATGCTGTGTGCCACACAGAATATTCAAAGCAAACTAACACATTGTTTGTTTTCTATTTTTTTAAGTTGTCGACAATAAGAAAAAAATACGGACCTTTTGTGTTTTCCCAATTTGTAATAACTGAATCACAACAACAGCAACAAACACTATTACAATGACATGCCATATCAGGATAAATAGCAGTTAGCAGAACTCATCAGGTATAAAGGAGTTCGTCAATCAATACTTTGATATATGAGCTTGGAAAAGCAACATGACACTGCACCACGTCCAAAGAGACTAAATTATTTGCACAGATACCACAGTCAATGAAAACACAGAACTTAATCTTTTGCTCAGTGTTGCACAGGAACATAGAGACTGAACGTGCTTTCAGCTAATGGCTGGTAGAGACAGTTTATATCTAATTCTGATGCACAGACTTATGATTCCTCAAGAGGGAGCCACAATACAACACAACCCAATAAAATGAAGCTGCTGAGCCGTGACTCACAGGCAATGTGACAGATTTTTGAAAACCTTTATCTTCATCTTATCCAAACACACATTCCCAGTGTTTCTGTTTGGTCTAATTTAGAGTCTGTTTCTATTCCAATGGCTGATTGTTGCTTTTATTGAAGTAAATCTCCCCTGATAACAGTACTGTCACCTGCATGTTGTGATTATTAACCGACAGAGCTCATAGCTCACCTTATTCCTGAAGGAATGCTGCTTTAGATGATATATACTGAAGGGTCTAAAGTAACTTGGTACTGTAGTATTTGTCCAACAGAATCACTTTAGTGCATTAACATCCATTTACAAAGCCTTGTCAGCATTAAAAGAGTTAGAAATTCTAAAAACAGAAATGCTGTTGTTAAACCAGATTATTTATTCTGCTCTTCAGACAGGCAAACATGAGATTATCCTCTCAGCTGACCGGCATGGTGTTTGAGAGGCTCAAGCTGTAGGCACAGGATCGAAGTGTCCTCTCAGATAGGCAGGACTGAAACAACTGGACAGACTCGACGACCTTCAGATGGAAGTCCTCTGCTGACTTGTTGGCCGTCGTAAAGTACAGGTAGTCAGAATAAAGTCTGGGAACACAATGAGACAGAGTTGAAAGCCAGATGGAATTATACAGCAACTTTTTTTCTGGATGTACAATAAGAGTATTTATCTTTAAACAGATTGTTTTGAAAAGTTACAGACTACTGGAAAACCCTTTAAAAGCAATCCAAACTGTCATCACTGAAACCCACATGCATATCTATTCACACAGCTGTTTCTCTGCAGTACCTCTCTACTGGATCTCTAAGCATGATGATGATTTTTGCACCGGGCTGGACTGTGTGGATGAAGTCCTGGGCCAGGAATGGAGGCTCTGCCTCCTCCCCGTCTTTGTGGAGGTAGCTCCAGACTTGGTTGTCCCACATAGTGGAAGCACTGGCTTCACCTGTCAAGACATTGACAGTCTAAGTGTCACTTTGCTCATTTGAAATGCAGCGAGCAAAAACAGGCACTCAGGCATAATGTGGCAAAGTTAAGCAGAATTTCAGGCCAAAATATTTAAGAGATGTTGCAAACACTTTCCTTGTCTGGGAACATTATGCCTCCCAAATCTGTGTGTAAACATCTTGGCAACAGTACTGTCTTTACTTTTTAGAACTTAAAAATAGAATTGTGTTACTCTGTTATTAGTATCATTGCACAATCCAAATAGGGAGTTGTTTTTTTATGCTAGCAAGCAAAGCCAACCAAGCAGAACTTTCTTAAATGCAAATTTTCAAACAAGCAAAGAAGAAAATCAAGTTAAAAAAAGAAGCTGGTGTTAAAGATTGTCCTTCAAAAGATCAATACTACTTTACTCCATGAATGTAATTTCTTTATGTTCGTGTTTATTTGAGATTATTCTCTACAGTTCCTCAAACCCTGGCCTAGAACTGCAAAGCTTTCAACCAGCCACATTTATAATCACAGATGTGCAACAGTAACCAGAGGCATATGAGTTTTTGTGTATGCTTCTAAAGACACTGTTCTTTCAATTAGACCACAGACTATCTAAGAAAATATGAGTGGTATTTTCCTCTGGCTTTTCACAGCACAGTAATGTTCCTGAGGTCAGAGCCACTGACAATAAAGAAAAGGGGGACAAAAAAGACAACAAAGAATTGTAGTTTGAATCATGGTCAGGATCCAGATGTTTGGCTGTTCAAAGGTCTTCAGAAAATACCTAATGAAAAATAAAAAGGTGCACAGTGGATGCTAACGGTACCAACTCACCTGTTATGAGCTGGAGTGCATGGTGGCTTCCAGATGAATTTTTGTTGATTTCTTCTTGGATGCTGTGGGCTGCCAAGTCAAACAGATCCAAGTAATCTTGCACAGGAAAAACTTCCTGGAAGCCATCTTTGAAATGGAAATAACCTACACCCCAAGATACAACAGGATAACATTCATTATCTCTGTATTTAGTCAGTGGAAAATAATCAGAAGTATTTTGACCAGTGCAATATACTACTTTTCTTGAAATTTTAGTTAGTTACATTTTCTGGTGATGCTTTTATTATGAAGCAGTTGCAGAAGAAGTTTGGCTTAATCTTGATTCAGCTTGTGTTTGGAAAATTTTTTGCACTGCTGAATTAGAATCTATTCTTATAAAGGACATGGTCCTAATTTTCATCAGGCCTTTATATTAAAAGCATGTTGAAGTAACATGGGACCTGACCAAGTGACCGAATTTTAAACGAGTTTAGAAATATTGGGGTCATCCACTAAGAAGATCAACATTGTTTATTCTTTTCTGTATGAAAAGCTAGTACTGATGAAAATTATATAAGCACCTCACAATGCCCACTACACTTCTGGAAGCCACTTCCTGTTTTCAACAAATGGCGTTTCAACAGACTAACTGTCATGGTTGAACTATAGCTTCAATCTTTACATCATGGACAGATACAGTAGTGTTGATCTTACTAACTACATTTTTGCAAGAAAGTAAAATAACGGTTTTTCATATAGAACTTAGACTTCACATCGCATGTACTTTAAAACTCTACGTTTACTGCTATCTGTTGTTCTTGTTTCTATCTGTGTTCAGTTACTGTTAACTACAGACTTTAGCCAAAGTGAGTGAAAACTTTTCAAAATATCATCCATCTTTTGATGACCACCAAAGCGTTTCCTGGTCCACCAGTGTGGCTCCTTCATGACGTTGAACCTGACTTCTGGGAGCAGCAGCAGTCTGTGAAACAAATCTGTTGTGCCGCACTTTGGCTGGCCAATTATGTAGAAGTATGGCAAGCAGCGCAGACGAAACTGCTTGCCATCTCTGTGGTATAGGTGCTGGTGGAAGGTGGTCCTCAGGTGGTCACACACATCTTTGAAGCTCTTGGAGTGCAGTGTAAAGAAGTTCCTCTTGTATGGATCAGTCCTGACTTCACCGGAGAACTCCTCATACCAGCAAGGGCTTTTGATGTTGAGCAGGAACTGACGAGGAATTACAGAAAACAACTGCAGAGAGGAACACAAACAACAGGAAAATGAATCCAATAAATAAATAAATTCATTGCAGTACTCTATATTAAAGGTAAAGAAGATATATTTCTATTAGATTTAACATTTGTCATTCATATATCTTGCAGAATGTAGTTGTTTATAATGTAGGTCTCCACCACATGATCCTTTTAAGTTATCTGTAGGCATTAAAAGGTGGTAATAAATGATGGTAGCTTCTAGTTTTACTAAGCATATGACAAAACTGCCTTTATCTGAGTTGATCTAAATGTACAGCAAAAAATGAGTCAGATGATTTTCCCACAGACTTACATGGGGGTCAGTTTCAATGATGTGCTTTTCATCAGGCACCTTTCTGGGTGTGTATTCCAGTTTAGACCTGATGAGCTTTACCAGCAGTTTCATGTTTATTGAATTCCTTTCAGAGGGAACTTCAGCTGCTGCTGTGCTCGACAGGATGGCAGCAGGTTGGACCTGATAGGGTGAGGGTGAGGAGATGAACAAAAGTCCTTTCTTGTCCCATGTCAAGATGTAAGAAGCCATGATGAGAAAAATCACTGTTGAGCCCAGCAGTAAGCTAACCAGTTTGACTTTAGAGATGCTCCACAGGTTAGTCAGTGACAACAGGAGAACCCACTTGACTTCCAGATTTTCAGGCATGTTTGTGTGCCTGAAGTCAAAGAGCATCCTGACTTCCTCTCGACTTCCTGATTTCTTCTCGTTTTCAGCCATGGACAAGCTGTGGACACAATTATCCTTTATATGTCCTGATGTGTCCATTCATCATGGTTTTTTGTCACTTGTTATATGCTTCCAGCCTTCAGTGGGGCCTTCTGTAAAACAGAAGCATACATGTTCACATGACTTCACTTTTCTTTTTGCTAGAAGAGAAGCAGTGTAGTTTCCTTTGAATTATTTCAGTCATCTCCCATAATGCCAAGAAAGGTGGTATTAACATTTTTAATATTATAAGCTTTATTCCCCCTCTGGGATGTTAGTTTGTGAATTTCCAGCCTATACTTCCTTCTTTAGCACTGGTCACCTCCAAAATGTTTGAGGTGAGCTGCAGCTGATTGTGTGTGGTCTGCTGGATGGAGACCCCTTGCTTTATGATGAGGCCTATATAGCACATGTAAATGACAAGCTCTTGAAAGTTAATAGTCTGTAATTCAAAAGTATAAACACACAATTATTCTCTGTGAGCTACATATCCAGCGAGAGCTATATTTTATTAACCTGAAAACAGAATTCTCCACACAGAGCCAAGTTACTGTATGTATTGATACAGGTGGACAGACTGTGGGACGTACACATATTTTGTTTTCTTTTCCCACCACATGAATAATAAGTAGGCATTATTATTTCAAGGTTCCACTGCTAATGTAAAATGTTTTTAAAACACTTCTCTGACACTTCCTTTGCAGAGATTGTAAAAGTGAACTGGACCACTGGACCAGGAAATAGACTCCTGCACCAGTTCCACTGAACTTCACAGAGTTTTCTCTACTTTCACTGTGATTTGTTTTTTTTTTTTTGATTTACTGCAAAACAAGGGCCTGTTAAAGTGTAGCCATGATAACAATGTGTTGCAACATGAAAGTAAACAATTCATTCAGTCATTCATTTTCTACTGCTTAGTCCCTGAACGAGGTCACGGGGGGCGGAGCCAATCCCAGCCGGCAATCGGGCGAAGGCGGGTTACACCCTGGACAGTGGAACGGTTGAATCATTTGTTCTGCAGTTCTGTCCAAAACATTACCATGATGGTGTCATAGTGCTGTCATCAGGACAATCTCAACCTGGGTTTAAAACCCCAAAAACTGTTAAAGAAAGTCTGTGTTACAAACTGAGAGCAACTGAGGCAGAGAGAGTCTAATTAAAGACAGTGTCAAGATGCATTATGGGAAGAGTTGCATACACAGCACTTATTTGTGACCCATGTACATCTAAATATTTGCAATTTTGCTCTCATCCCTGTTGACTTGATGAATGTGTGCACAAAAGGTTAGAGAAGTCCATAAGAAAGCCCTCGCACACTTGCAGATTACATAATGGGACAGAGCCCTTGCAGACTTGTCAGGACTGCATGGCAGTATCTGTGACCCTGGGTTGGGAATAATATATTCTTGAGCCATTTGGAGATGTTATGGGCCTCTTTTAACAAAATATCACTAGAAGGAGGTACAGTAGGCTTTTAAAATGTCAATGACACCACTAGCTAAATGCAACTCTGACATTTACAGTCGCTGATTATTAGTGAATGGTGCTGCTTCTAATTCTAATCCTCATTCCTGTCTTTCCTTTTTATGTCTCATAATTCCATATTTTGTTGTTATTTGCATGATTTTTAAAAAAGTGTCCTTTCGAGCTGTGTTTTGAAAAGAATTATATTAATGAATTCTCTTTCCTGGTCTCATTTTATTCATGCCCCTGCATAACTTTATTTCTACATATGCAGGTAAGTGTTATCTTCTTTGTTCTCTGTAACAATGAATCCTTTTATTATTATTCCAATTCAAGGGTAGTGTCTGGTTAGAGCAAAGTTTCAAAATGTGAAAGAAGAGAGAGATTTGGGCAGAGCAAAAGGAGGACAGTGAAAATCAAGGGTAAAGAGTGAAGAAGTGAAGCAGCATAGATGAGAAAAACAGTGTGAGAATGCACAAGAAAGACCAACTTTATCCCCCTTTGGTCTAAAAATCGATCTCTTTCAGGAACTGAACAGCAGGAGGGATTGACTGAGGTGAAACCCATGGTCAAAATCACGATGACTCAAAATAAAAACCAGCATTCATCATTGTTAGTAGACGCCTTTGTTACTCAAAGTGCACATAATGTCGGGACTGATCTGATATCAAAGTCAGAATGAGATATTATTCATGATTTTTACAGCAATGTGTTGGGTTGTTTACACAATGTATTTGTCAGATTATCTGAAATATTACAGATTCAGAGACACTTGTTCTGAAAAGGCAAGCTAGGATGTAATTTCACATAGCTACTATCATCCATCTTAAAAGCTGCTACCTTCTATTTTCTAGTGTGTAATGTGCAAAACATTTTTTGTAAACTTTTGCACAAATCCATGTAGCTGAACATCAGATAGTTCCCTAATAATTGCTAGATGGCAGTCAAGATAGTTTACACTAAACTTCAGGTGTCAACTGCATGGTTGTGACCATCCTTACGGAAGCCGATACAGTCGGTGAAGGTTGGCTGTGGCTTGAATTAACAAACCTTAGCACATATAAATATACAATAACTCGTAGAATAGACCATTTCTAAAGAACTATAACTAAGAAGATCTTTACCCTCTTAGTTTTTACCCTTGGTCTGGAAGCTACTGACTCTCACAGTGGTAGTGAAATACATTTGTTGATTATCAGTAACAGTATGTTCACCACATCACTAGCTTGGGGCTGTTACATGGACAAACCATGAAACTCATTATTTTTAATTAGCCCCAGATTCCACAGCTGTGACAAATTTGCAATTCAACCTTTTGAACCAACATACAAGATATATATTACAAATTATCACTGCTCAACAAATATCTGTTAGGGGTGTTAAACTGGGTGCAGATTATGTTATAAGTAGCATCTAACACACATCCACATTTATGCACACGGGATGCATTCATATACACTAAGTCCGTGTCTTGACCTCTCTCATTTATCCCCCTTTATCTGCCCTTCATAAAATTTTGCCAATCAGTTGCAGCCATTTCTGTGCTGCTAAAGAACACACGTAAATCAACATCCAAACAAACGGACAATAATGTTGCATGGTGCACTGTGTGCAAATGTATGGCTTTTTTTTTAGCATCAACATTAGCAAATCTTAGTATGAAACAGAGCTTGTAGAATCATGTGAAGAATGCTCAGAGAAGTTTCACTAAGACAACACAATCAGCTCCAAGTGCCTGCACTTACATGGTATACACAAATATAACATGTTTTAATCACTCTTTCATGTTTATAACTATGTAAACCAATCCTGACTTTGTACAGCACATTCTTTGACTTGGATGAATCCCAGGGAATCCTAAGAAATGGGGGGGACTAGAGAAGCCAATGCCACAGAAGGAAATAAGACAAACTCCCTACTGATAGGGATGTCAAACAAAGATGGATGGGATACCAAACTGCAGTAATAGCAAAACTTTCTCTATGTGGATGAAAAAAAGAAGTCAGAGTAATTTCAAGGGCAGAAAACAACAATTACTCCATGCTAGGAGGTATCCGGAGATCCAGACTGTTTCTCTCTATGGCCATTTACACAGCCACATTACTGATAAAATCTTGGTAGGAAATCTAAAAGCTCCCTCAGAGCACAAATATCTCAGGAAGTGAGCATTTCATTGTGCCGGACTAGTCCTCCCTTTCATTTCCACTTCCCACTAAGAGAATTAGGAGGGTTGATTTTCTTTCACAGGAGAACAAGGTTTGCTTTCATAGGAACCTGACTCCTTAATATGTTAAACAAACAAGGTGTTGAAGCAATAAAAAAAGCCTAAAAAAAAAAAACCAGACATGTACTAAGCACTAGAGATATTAAACCTCTTGTTTAACACTGGTGTCTGCCCTGATCAGACAGGTCACCACCATCCAGTTTGACATCTGGAGAACAGATGTGGTTTTGTGCACACTTGTCAGTGTATATATTTGCATGTACATGAGTACAACAGGATCACCACAGTGAACTCTGCCAGGGTGAGAAACAAATGTTCAGACACTCACACAGGTTGTAAACAAGCCAGCAGTTTAACCCACTAAAAGCAGAAGATGAGCCTGCTAGTAATGTCGGAAATAATCCCTCAAATCACAGGCAAACTACCGCAAGCAAGGTAGGTCAAAGTTAGATCTAGATGTCAGTCTGTAAATTGCATGAGTGTATTACTGATGATGTATTAAATATATTAGTTCTTGAGTATGGGGTGACAATGACCTAAATGCAGGGTGCAGTGGGTAAAATTTATATGAGAATGAAAAAAGAACAGAAAACTGAAATGAATAACACTTTGCCTTCCACCAACAACAAGTGAGAGCGGAATGAGTGAGTGCTTTGCACATCCGAACTTGACAGTGCCTTACACAAAGTAGCAGATCAACTCAGACCAGCCATCACACACACCCTGCTTAAACATAATCTGGATGAATTTTAAAGTTAGTGACTGTAATCTGTGTTTAATTAACAGTATGGGACGATTAAACTTATACTTGAATGAACAAATATTTATCTAACTTATACTTGAATGAACAAATATTTATCTGGGCCTTATAGTGGATCTCATCAAGACTATAGCACATATGCAACTCATTAAATTGCTCTTTTTGGCTTGTGGCATTTCATGAGCTTTTACTGTTTCATTTTAAGCAGGTGAAATTGTTAAGCATACAACTTTTAAGTAAAAAAAGACTAAATGTTTAAATGGTTAAGTTAAAATACTGGATTAAGTGTTGGTTGGTATCATTTTAACCACATTTATAAATGTAGTTTCTGTTGTTGTGATACATGCAAATTCAAACAACTCAATCTTAAATGAGAAAAGAAATGACATAATGCATTTTAAAATCAACTGCAGCGAGGGAGATAGCTTTCTGTTCAAACATATTGTTGCATGGAAAGGAAAAACACAAAATATCATCAGGACATTACTCAACAGCATGGCAGCTCAAGCAGAACAACAAGGGAGCAACAGATGGAGGTAAAAGTTTGAGTACACTGAATCACCCTTTCCGTAATACTGTTTAGAAAGTCATGTTGGAAATAAAGCAGAGCTAGTCCTGCATTATTGAGGCTTGTTGTCATCACAAGTTAAAAAGTACCAGCTCTTGAAATAGATGCTCGGAACTGCTGCCAAAGCACTTCAGTATCATGCAGTCCTCCCACATTCCTAATGTTTTTTGTTGCAGAATCCTTTTCTTCCAGTGGCGGACCCCCGGAGTCCCATCTAAACAATCTGATATGGTATAAGTGTCTCACTCTTGCTCTCCCCTCTCATACTTTTAGACTTACATAAGTCTTTTTGAACACTGTTGGCCCTTGCCAAAAGAAGCATGGCTTTGACATCTTGTCTGATCCAGACATTTGTTCCACAAACTCAAGGAGCAACCTAAAACCTTCCTGCCTAGAGGAATAAACAGACTGCAGGGCTGGGTGCAGCAGCCCAAGTAAGGCTTTGGCCTGAGTGTGTGCATGGAGAGGTACCACAGCTAACAAACTCACACTATCTACTCCCTCTCTCACACTCTTGGCTCCAATTCCTTCTCCTTCCAATTAAAATATCACATCATTGAATTATAAGCTGCAGTGAGAGTCCACAGTTTGTCTGACAGGCTTTCTGCCTACCTAATCAACTAGGATTGGGACAAAAATGAACCAAATTTCAAACACAAACAATGAGTGCACAAACATCTCCTGCATCAACAGATCTCTTTCTAGACTTCAAACCAACTCTAGCAATAAGCTGGAAAAGCAATGCAGATGCTACTTCATGGCTTGTTTGCTTGGATGCATAAGAGAAACCATTTCGGCAAGACAGAAGGAATTAGCCAAGGAATCTCTCAAATAGTCAGATGGTAACAGAGGATGTTCTGGTTTGTTATGTTACAATATACAGAATAACAATTACAAGATAAAGGTAAGACGTTGGGAGCATGTTCACAAATGTTTAGTATAGTTTATCTTTGCCTGATAACACAGTCTGTTTGTGATCCGGTTTCTGGTGGAGTCTTATAATCCCCAGAGACATGACACTGAGATATTCTGCAGCTGTTCAGTGACATTTAACCAGGAGGATGTAGGTATTTAGCACTCTGGGAGACTTTATCATTTCGGACACTGTTGTTTTGATATTTCTCTTTTCCCTAATGGGCCTCTGCATACAGGTTGTCTGTTCATAGACACCACTATCATTTTGTCTGATCACAAACTAGTGCAACGTGTCCCTATGAAAAGTGATAATAAAGTGAATTTAGTACAAAACGCAAAACAATTAACTGAGCTAAGGCAGTTACGAAATTATTAAGCATTACAACAGAAATCTAATAAGCAAACCTTATTCTCCTGTGACAGAAAATCAACCCTCCTAATTCTCTTAGTGGGAACATCAGTTTTCCTCAGTCTTTTCATAGATAATCTTTTTTGAACAAAAGATACTCACACCGCAGTCTGTTTATTCCTCTTGTGCAGGAGCTCACGAGTAATGATGACAACCATTTAAGGCAATGAGAACCACCTGACAGGTGTCTATATGAAACGCTGAGTGAAACAAATGAGCGACCGTATCCTCAGCGTGCACATTTTGACAAACGCCAGCTGTGTTTTGCTGCGGAGCTGCGAGACAGTTCGGAGCCTCCATCTGACTGAGTTCTCCAGCGCGCAACAGAACTGTGAGGACGACAGAGGGGAGGTGCGCATGTGGAGCAGCACAGGAAACACCAGCAGCAGAACCAGTCGTAGCTACACATCAGTCCGGAAATCCTTTTATTGATTAGGCTAAGTCTGCCCTTACGATGAATAGTATATCACTATAAAAGCAAAACAACAAATGCAGGTTATGTCTGCCGGTTTCCCTTGATGGTCACTTATCGTTCGCCGTGTTGAGGGTTAAAACTGGACAGCAGTTCACTTATCTTCATAAAAGTTATCATAAGCAGGGAAGACTCAAGCACATTGACTTAAAAAAAATCAATAAAAGCAACAATCTGTATGATAAAGACATTAAATGCTGTTATGTACTGTTTCATGTATTGATTTATAGTTTCCAAACGTGGATGCACAACGCCCCAGTGTCTTTATGAGGCTGCACAAAGCTAAGTAACACGCACACCACCTTCTGTAAATGAACCGTTTTATTTAATTTGGCTGCATCACAATGGTTTCATTTTCAAGGTCAGACTAGACTCTTTTAACACACAGTAGCACTCCAGCCTTGAATTAACCCCTTTATTACGTTTTAATCTCTGTTCTGATGCTCACCACCTGTCCATTCTGAAACAAAGGTGAAAAGTAAAACATTATATGGCCTTGAGGGTTCAGAGAATTTGTTTTTAAAGCCTTGGGGTAAAATTCATCTGCTTTTATTGTATGCTTTTCTGTGTTTTTTTATTTTTTATTTCTAAATTGTGCTTTATTCTTAAGGACAAATTGTTCTAATCTGCCAAATTCCGATAATTTGTGAACAACATTGTGCAACCAGAGACTTTTCTTGATTATGTAATAGCTATAACTGGTTGTTAAGGGAACTGCTACATGTGCATATAACTGATGATTATCACCAATTATCATAATGCTCTTTTCAGCTAATGGAGATTTTTTTTTCCTTCATTACTTGTCACGATTCATTCTGAGTGGGAGTCACTGGGTGTTTCACAATGGTGCATTACACCTAATGATGAAACCACAAGTCCTG